GTCAGCACCACGCTCAGCCAGTGAGTGAACCGGCCATCCCTATATGGGATCCGAACCCGGGGCCTTGGTGTTATCAGCACCGCACTCTCCCGAGTGAGCCACAGGCCGGCCCCAAAAAAGTTTTTAATTTTGAAGTTCAATTTATCTAATTTTTTCTTTGGTCGCTTGTGTTTTAGGTGTCATGTTTAAGAAACCATTCCCTAATCCAAGGTTGTAAAGATTTATATCTATTTTGGGTGGGGGGTGGGGGGTGGGAGAGTTTTATAATTTTAGCTCTTACATTTAGGTCTTTGATCCATTTTTTTTTTTTTCCTTTTTGTCTTTTTTCGTGTCTGGCAACAGATCGCAACCCTCAGTGTCGTGCCCGTACCGGACCAGGACCGGCAACGGGATCGCAACCCTCGGTGTTGCGCCTGCACCTCGCTCAGCCAGTGAGCGGGAACCGGTCTGTATGTGGGATCCAAACCCTCGGCGGGAGCGCCGCCACGCTCCCAAGCGGCGCACTGTAGCAGTGCGCCACCGGGCCGGCCCGATCCATTTTGAGTTAATTTTTGCATATGGTAAGAAGGGTCCAAGTTCATTCTTTTGCATGTAAATATCCAATTATCCCAGCACATTTATTGAGAAGACTCTCTTTTCCTGTTTGAGTTGTCTTGCCTAAAATCTTTTGAGCACAGGTGTATGGGTTTTTCTCTGGACTGTCAATCCTATTCAATTTATCTGTGTGTCTAGCCATAGCCAGTACCTCATTGTTTTAATTATTCTAGCTTTGCAGTAAATTTTGAAATCAGGAGTGTGAGTCCTGCAATTTTGTTCTACCTTTTCAAGATTGTTTTGGGTATTCTGGGTCCCTTGAATTTACATATGAATTTTAGGATCAGCTTGTCAATTTCTGCAAAAAAGCAGCTGGCAATTTGATAGGGATTGTATTGACTCTGTGGGTCAATTTGGAGGGTATTGCCATCTTAACGATATTAAGTCTTATCATCAATCCATGAATATAGGATACCTTTCTATTTGCTTTTATTGTCTTTCTTTCATGCTTTGTAGTTTTTGATGTACAAGGCTTGCAGTGCTTTCATTAAATTTATTCCTAAGTATTTTAATTTTTTTGATGCTATTGTAAATGGAATTGCTTTCTTAATAAGATTGATTTTGTATATTGATCTCATATTCTGCAACCTTGCTGAACTTGTCCATTATGGGTGTCTTTTCTTTCTTTTTCTTGCCTAACTGCTCTGGCTAGAACCTCCAGTACAATGTAGAATAGAAGTGCCACCCAAAAAAAGTTCCCGTAGGAAGTAGGAAGAGAGAAAAACAAAAGCGAAGAAAAAGAAAAATAACATTAAATAGAAAGTGCAAAATAAGATAGTAAACCTAACTCCAAGTAGAACAGTAGTTACAATAAAAGTAGACAGATTAAATTTTCTTGTTAAGTCAGTAATTATCAGATTGGGTAAGAAAACAAATCCAGCAATGTGCTATAATACCTCCCCCAAATAATAAAGTAGAAATGTGGAAATTAAAAAAAGAAAAAACATATGAAAGATAAAAAAGATACAAGGATAACCAAAAGGAATCTATTAGCTATATTAATAGTAGACACACAGATTAGAGTAAAAGAATTAAAAATTAACTAACCTCACAGGAGGTAAAAATTCTGAATTTATGTATTCCTAAAACATACCATCAAAATAGATAAAGCAAAATTTGACAGACTTTTCAGGAGAAGTTGACAAATCCCTAATTATAGTGAGAGAACTTAGTACTCAGCTCCCAGAATTAATCATTCAGGCAGAAAAGCAATACCAGAAAAGTTGATCAATACACTAATAGGCTTGATCTAATAAGCTCCATAGAAACTTTACCCAACAGTTAGGACATTTGCGTTCTAATTTTCAAACATCATATTTGCTATGTGCTAGGACACAAAGCAAATATGAATAAACATAAAATGAATCCGTATGATGTTGACCTTTCTGTGGTCATAGAAATAAAATACAAAAAGACTGGCAGAAAGTATCTTATAAAAGTTAAGAGGAAGTTGGCAGAGTTTCCACCAGCCAAGCAAGGAAAAGACACAGTACCACTGAACTTGGAATTTGCAGTATTACTTATTTTGTTTTATTTTGGCCAAACAATAGACAATAGTTGTTTTAGGGGAAGCAGAATGGGAGGCATGTTGAAATCTTGTTTTCTGGGTAATTTCTGTTATGAAAATAAAAATGTGTCTGAAGGGCTTATTTGTTAACAGGCATGGTTTTGCACTCTTTTTTTAAGTGAGAGGTTCACACTGTAGTTATATCGGGGACATTGCTTTAAAACTTTTTATAACTAAGACTTTGAAATTCTGTCTTGCTGCCCTCAAAGCCAACATTTTATTCACTCCAGCAAGCCCAGTGCTTTGTTACCAGAGACTCAATGCTGTTTGACACAGAGCATCTGTCTTTTTCCTATATATATAGCTCCAGAGATTGTGATTGCTAATTGGATTCTTTTTTTTGGTAGTTGTTGAAGTGAAGCCCTGGGAATGTTGAATTTATTATAGTGCTGTCTCACCCTTCTGCAGATGTGAAAAAGCATTACTGCAAAAAATACCAGTTTTTAATTTCCCTAATTATGCATTTGAGAGGTTCTTCTGTGTCTGGACAGTTTGAAATAAAAGAAAAATAGTGCTGGGGTAATGGTGAGAGACATGCCAGATGAATTTACTAAGTTGTAATAATCCAGAGAAGAGCCAGAGAAGTAATAAAGAAGTAAATGAACATGGCACAAACATCAGCCTAAGGCTGACATGTACCCAGCCCACTGTGGGGGCCTGCTCTGTAGTAAGACACATTTTTAAGATTGTGGAATCCGTAAATTCTGATAGAGCAACAGAAAAAAACAAAAAAAAAAAAAAAAAAGAAAGAAAGAAAAAAAGAAAAAAGATACCGGATATTTGAGGGTTTGCCACAAACAAAATGCCCTTCCATTCGTTATATATTTAAGAGAGTTGCACAGAAAAAGGCAATCCAGCTTGATATTTGCACCTTTTTTCTTAAATATTAAGCACTCTCTCTTACACAAAGGTCTGGATTTTAAGCAGGCTAACTGCAATAGATGTCAATATCTTGCAACTTTATCAGTAGTTTTGAAGAGTGTCTTGAGGAAATGAACTGAAATTGTGCTTAATAAATGTAGACAATGTTCTTTGCCTACGCATGACATGACAGATCTCAGATACCTTAGGGGGTATTTTTAGGGATTAAAAGAAGATCTGGGCCCGGCCCGTGGCTCACTCGGGAGAGTGCGGCGCTGGGAGTGCAGCGGCGCCCCTGCCGCGGGTTCGGATCCTATATAGGGATGGCCGGTGCGCTCACTGGCTGAGCGCCAGACGACACCAAGCCAAGGGTTGCGATCCCCTTACCGGTCACACACACACAAAGAAAAGAAGCTCCGACATAGACCTGAGAGTATGCATTTAGCAAAAGTGATTCAAAAGTCCAGTGCAATTAATCAGTGCAAAAGAGTCGTCATAGTGCAGAAAGAAATCCGAGGCAAACACAGAGAGCAAATCCAAGGTAATGTTGGCTTGTAATGCAGTGTGTGTGCAGGTAGAGAAAATTGCTGCTGTCACAGCTACTGCCAATTAAATGAATTTGAGTCAGGTGGAACAGTAATTAATTCGAACCCACAAAACGTAATGTCTCAGGAATCCTGGGAACTACTAGTAAATTATGAGTAAGTAATGTAACACTGCCACTTTATTTTGGATGCTAATATGTCCTTCTGAAAACTTACATCTGTCTTTTGAAAGACTATCAGGATCAGAGAAAGTCCAGGGAGGATGATGGGAGGTATTGAAGTGAAGGCAGGGGTGAGGGTACTGATGGACCCCGCTTCACCATTCCACACACCTGTGCTTAAATGCTACTGCTCTCCAGCTGTACGACCTCGGGCCACTGCTTTGCAAAGGTACTGAGCCTGATTCCTTACCAGTTATAATAAAATTAAGATGCGTGCTGTTATTGTTGCTGTAAGAATTAAACAAGATCAGAAATGTAAATTAGCACCATCCTTGCAAGTTAGTAGATGCTCAATAAATATTAATCCCTCATTTTGCTTAGCAGAAGCAAAGTAATTGTAATGCTTTAACAACATCTACAAAAGTTGGGTGAAGACTGACATGAAAAGGCTATTTATGTAATATTTATTCATGGATATGAAATGATGGTGATGATGTTGATGATATCTGTTGGATTCATCAGACTCATTTTGAGCAACGTGTTGGGAAATAGAACTTAAATCTGAGGTGTGTCCCAGTTAGACTGGCAAGTATCAAAAAGACAGAAAATAACAAATGCTGGTGAGGATGTGGAGAAAGGGGAACCCCCCTACACTGTCGGTGGGACTGTAAGTTAGTGCAGCTGTTATGGAAACTGGTATGGAGGTTTCTCAAACAACTACAGATAGAACTGCCATAAGATCCAGCAATCCCACTGCTGGGTATGTACCCAAAGGAGTGGAAATCATCATGTTGAAGGGATACCTGCACTCCCATGTTTATTGCAGCTCTATTTACAATAGCGAAGAGTTGGAACCAACCTAAATGTCTGCTGCGAGGTGACTGGATAAGGAAAATGCGGCACATATACACAATGGAATACTACTCTGCCATAAAAAAAGGATGAAATTTTTCCATTCACAGCAACATGGATAAGCATGGAGAAAATTATGTTAAGTGAAATAAGCCAGGCACAGAAAGAGAAACACCACATGTCCTCACTAATGAGTGGGAGCTAAAAAAATAAACAAATAAATAGAAAAAGAAAGAAAGATAAAACAATCACAATAATACACTGAATATCAAAAGGAGAGAACAGTATATCAAATTACATTTACTGTAAGGTGTATTACTTATTTATAGCTGTACAACAAATTACTACATAGCTTTGTGGCTCTGATCCCCACATACGTATTACTCACTGTCTCTCTGGGTCAGATGGCCCAGGCGCAGATCACTCAAGGACGCTTCGACCCTGTAACCGATGGCGCTCCCGTCGCCTCACGCGCCTCACGCTGTCCCTAAGCACTTCCGCATAGATGTCGGCCTTCGCCGGGCTGGGGAGGCGCGACTGCGGTGCACCTGTCCCACCTGCTCACAGTAGCCCCTGAGATGAACCTTTCTCCCTCTGTGCAAGGCCTCGTGCTTCGGCCATGGGCTTTTCGTGCTGTGTGGGCGAGCGCACCCCACTCTGTTAGTGCCAGCCCCGCTGCCCACCGCGGGGGGTTTTACAGAGGATAAGAGGACAGCGTTTCTCCTGAGCCACTGCCACTTGCTTTGTTCTGAGAATAGAGAGAGCCAGTGATCTGAGGGCTCCATCTGTTTTTCGGGCTCTCGGATCCCAGGGGAGTCAGCAGGAAGGCCGGAGGGTTGTCGGCCCTGATCCCGGAGCTAGGGGACGTTGTCACAGCCTGGAGCTTGGGGACGTTGTCACAGCCACATCTTCAGCAGGAGGGGGGAGCAGACACCGTTCCCACGGGTGGCAGATGCTGACCAAACCACCACGCTGTGTGCTCATCTTTAGATCGGAGTACAGTTCGATAGAGACCACACCCCTTTGTCACATGGTCACGTGCCTCACTGGGCCAGCTACTGGGTCGTCCTGATACAATTCCTCCCAAGGAGGTGTGAGACAGCATGTCTCCCACTGGCTTCTCTGGAAGTCTCACGCCTAAAAAGGGATGGATGGAAGGACGTGCTTTTCTCACGCACGCACTGGACATTTTCATGCCTGCTGGAGGCAAAAGAACTGCCGCAGTCACCTTGTTACCATGAAGGGAGCCTCGCCAACAAGAGGAGCCACGCGGAGCAGAGCAGCGGGTGGGGACAACCTGGGTTTTCACGTCTTTGAGTTGCAGACTTAGACAACCCTGCAGCCCTCCCCCGCTTGGACTCATTACGGTGTTGGGTAGTGAATCTTCCTTACCAGTTAAGCCAGTTGAGTCAGGGGTTTTGATTATTTGTAGCCAAAACTTCCTGATAAATGTTTTAAAGGAGGGTATGATGATGATTGTTATAGAAATATATAATACACATATGGCAAAGACTTTATTTAACTTATCCGTTAATGAGGAAACCAGTGAAATGGTACAATAGTTCAAAGAGCCAAACACATACAGGCAGACAAGAAACGATAACAGAGAATTTACAAATAGATCCAAACTAGCCTTTTTCCATGGGAAGAAAGGAAGGAAAGTAATTGTTTTTCTACCTGATAGAACTAAGTCGCAGGTCTATGGGCAAGAACAATTTGCATTGCTAGCGTTATCTACGATCTACAGAACTATAAAATAGCTTAAGTAAAACGAAAGGCGCGAACCCCATAGAATGAGAAAATCCAGGACTAGACAATGCCTAGTTTTCCACTGAAGACATCACGTAATCATTTTGATCTATTTCAACTTTTTCCACTTATCAGTCACATGTGTCAACTATGAAAAATGTATTACCCTTGTTGCTGCCGCCCTTTTTCTTGATCCAAATGCCGTGAGGATTTTGGTCACTTCCCAGGCTGTTTTACGTGTTTATGGTTCTCTCAGTTTCCAAGAAAGCAGGACTCCTGTTCGTTCCCTTTTTAAGCTCTGTTCCACTCTAGCGTCTGAATTTTACAAGCAGGATATAAATCCGTCATGACGTATAAGTAAATCAGTCATGATGAACAGTCCTACTTTGTTCCTCAAGGGGAAGATATTTTTGAATTGAAGATAGATTTCTTCATGGCTTCTGTGTTCTGGCTTGGATGCTTTTTGGTAATAGATCAGTCATTTCCATTTCCAATATTTTCAAGTAATCACTCAGGCCCATGATTTCCAAACTCTTGCTCAATACGATGCTGCATCATAGATTTTTTTTTCCTGCAGGAATTCCCAGCCTTATGTCCACACTGTCTCTAATAAAAGTTATAAATTACATATATCTTTAAAATGGCTTAAAATCAATTTTGCAAAGTTAGCCTCTTTCCAGACATTCCTAAATCTGCAGGAATTCCCAGCCTTATGTCCACACTGTCTCTAATAAAAGTTATAAATTACACATATCTTTAAAATGGCTTAAAATCAATTTTGCAAAGTTAGCCTCTTTCCAGACATTCCTAA